TATTTATTCATTCACTTAACCATTTATTTATTCAATAAATATTTATTGAGCACCAACTATCTTTCAATAGCTATACTAGGTGTGGGGATAGAGTAGGGATAAGTGGCCAAACAGGACAATCATTTGGGAAGCTGTTACATTCATCCAGAGAAAAGATAACAAGGATCTAACACCCTGGAAGATGGTGCCATAATAGACCAAATCCAATCAGGGCATCTGAATTGGAGATTGCCCTGAAGGGAAACTGATGAGCAAAATCCTGAAAATGTGAGTTCTAGTCTAGCCCTAAGAAGGCATGGGAGGGGGCTGATGGGTCAGCTCACTTGGTTAGAGTGTGGTGTTAAAACACCAAGGTGAAGGGTTCAGATCCCCTTACTGGCCAGCCGCCAAAAATAATAATAAATAATAAATAAATAAAATAAAATAAAAAACAAGAAGACATGCAGAATATTTTAGGAAATGTAATTGGCAGGATTGGGGAGCTGATGAACTGTGGAGAGTGAGAAAAGGAAGAGACTGGGTGGAGTTCCAGGTTGCAGGCTGGGGTGAAGAACAGATTTGGGGGAGGCGATGAGCTCAGATTTGAACATGTGGAGTTACAGGTGTGTATGGGCCATTGAGGGGGTGTGGGTGTGTCAGAGAAGTAATTGGATCTACAGGTCTTGAGCTCAGAGAAGAGGCCTGGCCTGGCAATGTGTAGGTAGCGTCCTCGTTGATCACAGTCTCTGAAGTCTCCCCCATCTTAAAAACAAGAATGATCACAATGGACTACTACTCTGCTATTAAAAATAAAAAATGAAATACTACCACTCGCAGCAACATGGATGGACTTAGAGAAAATTATATTAAGTGAAATAAGCCGGGCACAGAAAGAGAAATACCACATGTTCTCACTTATTTGTGGGAGCTAAAAAGAAATAAATAAATAGATATACGAACGAACAAGGCGATGGGGAAGAAGACACAACAATCACAACAATTCCTTGAACTTGTTAAGTCAAGTGAACAGATATGATGTTGATGCGGGTTGGAGAGGGCAGAGGGATGGAAGAAAAGGAGGAATTGGTAAAGGGACACGAAAATCAACTACATCGTATATTAATAAATTAAAAATAAAAATAAAAATAAAAAAATAAACAAGAAGGACAACAGACAAAAAAGCCACCCTGGTTCTGCTCCTCACCCCATTTCCTGCTCCCCCACCCCCCATCTCTCTCTCTCTCCTGAGTACCCCTTCCTCAAAACTCACTTGTCCTGGCCTTCATGATGCTGCCCTAGCTGGGTGTCCTTCAACGTCTACCCTTCCTCTCTGCTCCCCTCACCATAAATTCCACAAGGAAAAAAAAAATTGCCAGATGGGCACTCCATCACCTCCCGTAACAACTCTAGTGTCCTGCCTTCTGTAAAAGGTCACCTCTCTCTCTCTGCCAAGAGGACCTTTGTCGATCAATTGAATATTCTTCCTCCCGTGCTTTATTTGCCTTTATACTGGGCTTTTCCCATCATTTAATTATTTTTTTGAATGCTAATACGACTTTATTTACAAAAACAGGGCAGCCCTTATTTGCCTTCCAGGCATACTTTGCTGACCCCAGGTTTGACTTTTTAAATTGACAAATAAGATTGTATGTATTTACTATGTACAACATGATGTTTTGAAGTATATATACATTTCATCATTTATTTTCAGCTTTATTGAGATATAATTCACATTCCATAAAATTCACCCATTTAAAATATACAATTTTCAGAACATTCAGAGTTTTACAACCATCATCACTATCTAATTGTAGAACATTTTCATTACCCCCCAAAAAAACTCTATTAGTCACTTTCCAGTTCTCCCCAATAACTCCCAGCCATAGGCAACCACTAATCTACTTTCTGTCTCTATAGATTTTCCTATTCTGGACATTTCACATAAATGAATCCTTACAATATGAGGTGGCTTCAAACAGTTTGTGGAAAAATGTAATTAAAAGATAAAAGGGCTGGCCAGATAGTTCAGTTGGTTACAGCACAGCCTTATAACACCAAAGTCACAGGTTTGGATCCCCATACAGACCAACTGCCAAAAAAAAAAAAGAAAAAAGATTAAAAATAGAAGTATAAACTTTATTTCTCAACATAAGCTCCATCAAGTTCAAGTCACTTTTGCAAGCAATGATACCAGCCATCTGAGGGTCCTGGGAATTTAACCATGTCAATGCAGTCTTTTTTACATTTTTAACTGAAGAAAATAGGTGTGCTTTAAAGGATTTTTAGGATTAGGAAACAAAAAGAAGTCAGAAGTGGCTAAATCAGGACTGCAAGGTAGATGCCTAAAGATTTCCCATTGAAATTCTCACAACATTGCCCTTGTTTGATGAGAGAAATGAGCAGGGAAGGGCTCTCTGGTGCTTTCCCAGGCGTTTTTCTGCTAAAGCTTTGGCCAACTTTCTCCAAACACTCTCATAATAAGCAGATGTTATCATTCTTTGACCCTCTGGAAAGTTAACAAGCAAAATGCTCTGAGCATCCCAAAAAACTGTTGCCATGACCTTTGCTCTTGATCAGTCCGCTTTTGCTTTGACTGGACCACTGCCACCTTGGTAACCATGACTTTGATTGTGCTTTATCTTCTGGATTGTACTGGGAAAGTCATGTATCATCTCCTATTATAATTCTTCAAAGAAATGCTACAGGATCTTGAGAAATGCTACAGGATTTTGAAAACTATTTTATAGTTGGCTCAACTGTATTTTTCCAATCAGAATTGTGTAAGCTGAACCAATTGAGATGTCTATGGTATTGGCTATTGTTTCTGCTGTTAATTGTCAGTCTTCCTCAATTAAGGCACAAAAAAGATTAATTTTTTCCTCACAAATCGATGTGGTTGGTTTGCCACTGCAGGCTTCATCTTCAGTATGATCTTGTCCCTTCTTAAAATGAATTACCCATTTCTTTGGGGACATTGTCCACATAAACTTTTCATAAAGCACCAATGATTTCACCATTCTTCCACCCAAGCTTCACCATAAATTTGATATTTGTGGGCCGGCCCGTGGCTCACTCGGTAGAGTGCGGTGCTGATAACACCAAGGCCCCGGGTTCGGATCCCACATAGGGATGGCCGGTTCGCTCACTGGCTGAGCGTGGTGCTGACAACACCAAGTCAAGGGTTAAGATCCCCTTACCGGTCATCTTTTAAAAAAAAATTAAAAATAAATAAATAAATAAATAAATTTGATATTTGTTCTTGCTTCAATTTTAGTACAATTCATTTGTTTTGCATGTAGACATCCAGTTGTACCAGCACCATTTGTTGAAAAGATTATTTCTCACATTAAATGGCATTGATACCCTTGTTGAAAATCAATTGGCCATACATTTCTGGGTTTATTTCTGGACTTGCAATTTTATTTCATTGACCCATATTGTCTGTCCTTATGCCAGTACCACAGTCTTTATTACTGTAACTTTATTGTAAGTTTTGAAATTTAGAAATGTGAATCCCCCAACTTTGTTCTTCAAGATTGCTCTGGCTATCCCGGGTCCCTTGAATTTCCATATGAAATTTAGGATCAGCTTGTTGATATCTACAAAGAAGCCAGTTGGGATTCTTAAAGGGATTATATTGAACCTGTAGATCAGTTTTGAAAATATCGCCATCTTAACATTATTAAGTCATTGAAATTAGCATTATTAACTCATGAAAATGAGATGTCTACTTAGGTCTTTAATTCTTTCAATGTTTTATAGTTTTCCCCATATATGTTTTGTACTTCTTTTACTGAGTTTATTTCTAAATGAATGGAACTGTTAGTTTGATTTTCTGATTGTTCATTGCTTCTGTATAGAAATATTAATTTTCGTATACTGATCTTGCATACTGCAACTTTGCTGAACTCATTTATTTGTTCTAACAGTTCTATTTGGAAATTCCTTAGGATTGTCTGTATACAAGATTATGTCATCAGCAAATAGACATAGTTTATTTGTTCATTTCCATTCTGGACACCTTTTCTTGCCTAAGTGTCCTAAGCTAGAACTTCTAGTAGAATGACGAATAAAAATGGCAGGAGTGGACATCCTTGTCTTATTGCTGAACTTAGGGGGAAAGTTTTCAGTCATTCACTGAGTATGATGGTAGCTGTGAGTTTTCCTAAGTGCCCTTTATCTGGTTGAGGAAGTTCACTCCTACTCAGTTTTCTGAGTGTTTTTATTATGAAGAGTGTTGAATTTTATCAAATACTTTTTAAGTGTCTACTGAGTTGATGATGTGTGGTTTTTTTTCCCATCTGTATGGTATCTCAGCTTGTTTTGACAGTTGAAATCTTAGGAGGATGTTCAATATACAAAACGGGGGTGGGGGGGGGTGGGCTGTTCTGGTTGAAACAGGGAGGAAAGCTTGGGACTGCCAAGCTGGGCTGGCTCACTGGCCTTCCTCTCCCAGGTAACCCTGGGCTCCACAGAAAACTGAGCTGGAAGCCAAGAACAGCAAGCGGCCCCCGTGGCTCTCCTCCAGAACTCCTTGTTGGGCCTGGCTCTGCCAGCCAAATAAGCCTCGACCCTCGGCCTCAGGGAGTCCCGGTTGGCAGGGCTGACTGATTACAAGTACCCAGCCACTTGATCAAACAGCAGGTCATTAGCATCTTGCAAATTGCATATTTATCCTGGCACAGGGATCCAGAGCCAACTCTCCCTCTACCTCTCTGGCTTAAAGGTTGATCTAGGGACTTTGGAGTCCTTAACACCTGCCCTTCTTGATGGTATCAGTCCATTAAATGATAGTAGTTCAGATCTACGGTTACAGTGACGTTTGGACTTCTAAAACCTTGGTTATAACCAACCAAAAATACAGAGGTTCAGTATCTCAAACAGACTGCAGACAGCCCACTGATTACTTTTTAGGATGACTGATTAAGAAACTTTATTACAGAAAATGAACGCATCCAACATCCCCAAATACATTTGTGACAAGAACAGACACACAGGAGACACGGGGGATAGTTGCTACATCACAGCCTTGTTCTTTCCAAAGGATAGTCATTCAAGGACAGGATGACGGGGTTAGAAGAGAGAAGCAGATAGAGAAAGCAGGTACTCCCCTAAAAACAAAAAAAAACCCCAACAGGTTGGCATTGCAGGAACATATACTGTGGGCCCAGAAATCAAGCCACACCTAAGCCTCAGGTGGTAACGTCACACCACTTAAACATCTCAGAGAAGCTACAGAACATCATCCCATTAGAGCAATATGGGACGGCGTGAAAACTTTAGAGTAGCAGTCTTGCTGCAAGCAGCTAATGGGCCAAGTGGCCTCAGCCTGAGTCTCTTTAGAAGTAAATGTCTGCTTAATCAAATATCGCTTAGCTAAACAGCTTACCCACTTCTGTTTAGCTACTGTGGGAGCACAAAAGAACATCACCCCCTTATAGTCTTTGCCCTTCCATGGTTGGTATGTCTAGTTACAGCCAGATAGAGGGGCACCACTCAGCAAGAAACCGCTCCCTTGGGACTACAGATTGATCTTTTCTTCCATATTTGCTGAGGCTGGTCACAGCTCCCAAATCTTGGTCTGGTATGTAGTGTATTGAGCAGTGGCAGCTTCAGCCTACAGTGTCAGGTGACAAGGGCATAGCTGAAGCAGGCGGGATAATCCTGGAACAAGTGCCTCTGGGCAAACCTCTCTGCCAAGGGTTTTTTAATTAGTGGTCATTTTCTAAAAGAACTAGAGAAACACATTTAGAACAAACAGTTCCGATGAGAGTGAATGGCTATGAATACAGGGATCGAGCTGTGACCATGACCACGACTTGTCCCCATCCAGGACCTAACAGGGTGGAGAGGACACAGCCTCCAGACATGCAAGTTTCCATAGTGAATTTTAAAAGTTTTCTCTTAAAATAAAAATAGTATCACAAAAACACTCCAGCGTGCTTCACAGCCTCAAACGTACATATCCGAGTACTAATGCTAGACAATACTAACACTCACCCACAACACAGTACCCTTCATTACTGCCAACAGTTAAGATGTATGTACATATCAGCCTTCAAAATAGTATTTATTATCACCACTTGCCACTGTGGGCATTACCCCTCACCCCAACCTAGACAAAATGTTTCAAAATCCAATATAACCACTGAAACACAAACCAAGCTCCTTCCAGTTTAAGAACATTGAACAACAATCTACATTTCTGATGAGCTGAGATTGTAGGTAGACCATGCTACTTTTCCTATGAAACACTTAGTGCTTAGATGATTCCATCAGCCTGACCTATGACTCGGGTGACCCTAGATGGAGCCTACAATCTTCGTGGCGTTTGGTTCTTAGAAGGAAAAATGTAGGGGCAAAAAAGAAAAATGGATGTTGTCCCCTACCCCAGCATTTCACCCCACCTCCCACCCCCACTGGGGTCCAAGAGACAGTAGCAGCTGAAGACCTACTCAAAGGCCGAGCACAATAACATTCTGCTACATGTGCTGGGAGGTGGCGGGGGGGCGGTGAAAGGAAAAAGGCGGCTTGAATTTCTGCCACACCATACACTCTGGAAGATGTATTTTGCTGTTCAGCAATGCATTTGGCCCCACAAAATGAGGAGGGGAGTGGGAGATAAGAAAAGTGAACCTAGAGAATAGCCTCAATCCTAACCACCCACCTTCTCGCCCCTCTGAAGCCTGCTAAACCTTGCCTATATTGTTAGCTTAGCTCCTACATTCAATTGTTTAGATCTCACCTTCATGCTACTCAAAACGAAATCGCACAGTAGCTTCAAGTAGCCCTCTCCATCTCGGTCCTGAGTAGGCTGACCACGTGGAGTAGAAGAGAAGTTACCAGATTTGTGGGGAGGCTAGTCTCCAAATACAACGGAGTGGGTTGTTGCACTGCTAAGACTGCTGTGAGTCAGAAATTTAGACTGTTATAGAGAACAGTTTTAAAAATGTAATACTGTTTATTTAACTTCAAAAACATTTCAGCATTCTAAACATACAAAAAATAACAGAACAAACTTTAGCGGGACCCTTTGCGCCATCAAACTTTCCTTTAGACTTATAGTCAGCAACATCCTGGAAGGAACAGGGACAACATTGCAAATGAGTGCACAGGCTCTCCTGCAGCTGTTTTAGCAAAGGACAGAAAAGCACGGAGTCCTCACCTTGGGTGGAAAAAGGGGAATTGAAACCGAATGAATAAGCCAGGGCTGCTGTCTACAAACTTGGCTCTTGGCCATTCAAATTTAAAAGTTAATGGGTGTTCAAGTGTCCTTTAAGTCATGTTAATAGCACTAACAAATCCTGCTGTGTTTTGTTTTCTTAAAGAGTGAGCAGGGCCAAGCCTGTGGCGCACTCGGGCGAGTGCGGCGCTGGGAGCGTAGCAGTGCTCCTGCCACGGGTTAGGATCCTATATAGGAATGGCTGGTGCACTCACTGGCTGAGCGCGGTGAGGCTGGTCTCAAAAAGGACAAAAAAAAAAAAAAAAAAGAGTGAGCAAACCTTTTTTAAGCCTGCCTACCTGAAGTTGTCCCCAAGACTAAAATGTGTCAGAAGAGTGAACAGCAGCACAGGTGGTTGGGCTTGCATGCTACGCGAGGAACCCAGCCCAGCAATGCAGCCACACAGCCCACAACCACCTGCCTGCCCGACCGTCCACCGTCCAGGCTAGCAGGCTGGCCCACGCGGGCCCCTTAAGCAACATCCTTCTCGTACTTCCCCTTCAGCTTGGCCGCCTTGGTGATGTAAGGCTGCTTTTCACTGTCACTTAAGTTATTCCACATCTCACCCAGCTTTTTGGCCACGTCTCCAATAGAGATGCCAGGGTTTGTGGATTTGATCTTGGGGCGGAATTCAGAACAGAAGAGGAAAAACCCAGACCTTGGAGGAGAGAATTATGTAAATTAGAAGAGAATCCAGTTTAAGTCAAAATCCCATGTCCCTGAGTCCACATATGTACCACTACTATGATTTCTCCCTGAAGCGAAGAAATGTGTGATACCATACACGACACTACAAAGTTGCAGATTCTAAAATGTTTAAGATGCTGCTGAGATACATGATGCTTTGTCGGTTTTTCAGTTACTGGGAAAGAGGTGAAGAACTCTGACACCCAGAACTAGGGTGCCTCCCCCTCAGGGGAAAGGCCAACCAGTGCACAAGCACACGTGCACACAACACACACAGAGCCCACAAACACCTCGGCTGTGACTACGGACAACGCTGGCACTGCATTATAAAGCTCAAAATACAGAAAGTTTTGCAAAGTACTCAACACCTTTTAGATAAAATCTTCAAAAAAAATCTTTCAAGCAGAAGGAAAGCTTTAACTGTTATCTTGAATCTTATAGTCACTTTCAGAACAGAAGAGGAAAAACCCAGACGGTGGCCTTTTGGGGGCATTAGGGTCTTTCTTCTTCTTGCCTCCCTTAGCTGGTCCATAATCCTTCATTTCCCGATCATAGCGTACTTTGTCTGCCTTTGCCATCTCATCAAATTTAGACTTCTCTTTCCCAGACATTGTCTGCAAAGAACAGGGCCTGTTAAATTCCTCAATGCAGTGAGCACATACCTGTTCAGCTGTCCTGCAGTTATACTGGCAGCTTGCAAAAGCGGATGAAAGCCTCAAACCCTTGAAGAGCGTTAAAATAAATGCACACACAGACAATTCTAAAGACAAGCAAGACGAGCCTAAGTAGAGAAGAAGAAAACAGCTACCTGGGGTGACTTTGAAGGTAAGTAACCCCAAAGTGTGAAATCCAAATAAGACTGGTTTGAAGGATACAAGAAAAAAAAAATAATAATAATAATACTTTAGACTTCTCTTTCCCAGACATTGTCTTCCACCTCTCAGAGCACTTCTTGGAAAATTCTGCAAAATTGACAGGGACCTCTGGGTTTTTCTTCTTATGTTCTTCTCTGCATGTCTGCACAAAGAAGGCATAAGCAGACATCTTGCCCTTTGGTTTCTTAGGGTCACCTTTAGCCATCTTGACTGTGATGGATGGAAGAGAGACAAAGAAAAGCATACGATGAAGACCAGAAGTAAGCAACAGCACATACCAAAGGCACAGCAAAAACAGGATTAACTTCACTGTTAAGCAGCACCTCCCACAACACCTAACACCACTGGCAGAAGGCAGGGTGGGAAGGAAATCAGCCTCACTGTCGCTTGTCATCTAACTTTTGACCAGCATGAAGCGCGCTGGTTTCCGAGTTACTTCAAGAGCGATCAAGTTCTCCAAATGGAGCCGACCCAAGTGGGGTGCTCAGCGCTACATTACAGAAGTAGCTCGTCTTGGAAACTAGAACTACTAAGTGGGAAAGGCATGGGGAGGACACATGTGCAGGGGGCGAGTGACAGAAGCCTGAAATCAATAACTTAAGCCCAGCCGGTCATCCGTTTAACTCCGATGCAAAAAAACCGAAATACTGCCACCGCTGCTAAACAAAAGATCAAATCAGAAGAACCGTAAATAGGAAACATTTGAACTGTTACTATTGCTTGTAAAAATGGCTTTTACGAGGGTGATCTGGAAAGTGAGCAGAGAGCCCTTGTACTATTAGTTCAGACCCGTCGTTTCGTCACTGTCTAAAGGGGGAGGGAGTATCAAAAGGGCTAATCTTGCTCATCTGTAACGCAGAATGCAGGTCCAGCCAGGAATACTTTCTCCAAAGTTTCCAAATAAAAATGCAGCTGTGGCGTGTCATCGTCCCTGTCCCACCCCCCAGCTTCCCGCCATCTTTTCCTTTTCCCACACCCAAGGTCATCACGTAACACTAAGGCAGTCCCCTTGCCAGCGACAGCCCTCGGAGATGCATTAGGGACCCGCAGCGGCGGCCCGGGCACGGCGGGACAGGGCGCGGGGGAGCACTGGCCGGCAGCGGGGAGCCCGACTCGGCCCCCGTGCCGGGTCACCCGGACACCCATAATTCANAAAAAAAAAATCAAACACTTCTCATGCCAGCTGACCCCCCCCTTTTTCCACAGCTAAGAATGGCAGAATGCTATGTCACTATATACACAAACAAGACAACCAGAAGCTAAATGGATGCCCACTGCAGTGTCAACAGGTCCAGCCTCACAGTGCACGCCCTGAGCTATGGCCCCTCCAAAAGGCATCTTCCCCCTCTGCCTCCACGCCAAGCAAGGAGCATCAAGAGTTTGTCTCGGTTGTTTTGCTCTTTTTACAAACTATAGATATGTACAGTTGATAACTCAGGATTTCTAGCCAATAACCATAGAGTTACCACCACCTTACAAATAAAAAAAAAAAAAA